ACTGGGTGGAAAGATACTCAAATCGTAGAAACGAAAGGGATTCCTGGAGGTCATTGTCTGACCTAGCACTCACACTGGGCTATTGCCAGTGGTCAGTTGTGACTTTGGCTGGTAGGGTCTTGAAAACCTCCAGGGATGGAGGTTCTGCCTTTCCAGGCAGCTTGTTTCAGAACTGCACGAAGAGTGGCAAGAGGTTTCTCTAGAAACAATGAACTACTTTTTTCATGTCCACGCTGGGATTGGAGCCGCCTGGGCCCTTTGGCAATGCCACCTCCCACCTGCTATCACATGACACCCTCCTTTTTAGAAGAGGGATGCTGCAGATGGGCTGTGTAGACAACTTTAGTTCAGCTGAAGATCTGCAGATGCAGATACATACTGCAAGCAGTAGTATGGCCAGACATTCAGAGCTGCAGTGGGCAATGCTGGGCTTTGCTTCATTTTCTGGCTGAGGATCCAAAGACAGCAAAGATACAGTCCAAGCATCCCACCTTCTGGGGCTGGTCTTCCAACCTCTGTATAACAACTACTGTCTAATAGCACAACTATTGGCAGGTGGAATTGTGGAGAAATTTGCAAAATGCGTGCAAGAAAATGCTCTATAACTGTATGAATGAAAGACACATAAACCATGGGGGATCTATGGGCTGAAGTGCAGTTTAGGTAATCGCGAAGGAGTCATTCCTTTCATCTGAGATATCAGAAGAACCCTGACATTTGGCACACTGACCCAGACTTATCACAGGTGAGGGAGGCACTGGGTAGGTGAATGGCTGGCATTGGCTGCCGGATGGTCAGCAGCAAAGGAGTGGCACCTTCAGAGGGTGATTAAGTCCAATTAGGATGCTGAGATTCCCCCCTCTCCATTGCATGTGGAAGGGAGCAAAGGGCAGCTCGTCATGTTTAATCACACCAGTTAAACATCTTCAGTTAGATGACGCATTGGGGTCATTTTGCTTTCCATCTTACACAGTCTTCTAGCATGCTGCTATTACATGCTCCGTGCTTTTAATGGATTTAATGGTAATATTTAAAGTGGAACTTTGCTCTGAAATGATAAATTATTTTTCTTATGCTGGAGGGTGTGCATTTCATTTAAGCAAAGGTATACAAGAAATTCCCCAAATATGCTTGCTCTTTTAATACGCAGTTAAGTTGTACGGGATGTGTCTGGTTTGGTTACAGACTGACAAAACACAGTTCTTTTTTGAGTTATTAGAATTCAACCAACCTCTTTTTCATGTTTCAGTTTTTATAATGCTAGTATTTGCAAGTTGGCAACTTGGAAACATTTTTTTCCCCTAGCTGAAATGCAGGAATATTCTTTTTTCCTTTTTTTTTTTTTTCACAAGCATTTCCATCTCTGAACCAGTGCATTTTATCTCAACAAAGATGAATCACAAGAAATACCACTTGAGGTGACTTTTTTTGCCGTTGATGCTAAAGTTTCTAAGGATGTAGTTTTGTAATCACTTCTTTTGGGCGGGAGGTTGGTTTTAGCTGTCAGTGGCCCTGGCCATTTGTTCCTTACTTTGTGGCAGCCCATCTGTTACACCAGTATAGCTGTTTGTGCAGCTGCGTGGTGAACTGAACTGCAGAACCAGTCTGGGGTAAAAATAAACGGGGGGGAATAAAAAAAGGTATGTTTATACCTTGAAGCAGGCAACAGGCATGGCTATCCCATACCTGTACAGATTCACAGCCCAGATGAAAGTGGAGGCATGGGCAGAGGCCAGTTTTAGGCAAGTCCCATTGAGGAAAGAAATCACAGAATCTTAGAATGGTTTGGGTTGGAAGGGACCTTAAAGATCATCCAGTTCCAACCCCCCTGCCATGGGCAGGGACACCTTCCACCAGGTTGCTCAGAGCTCTGTCCAACCTTGAACACTGCCAGGGATGGATGGGGCAGCCACAGCTTCTCTGGGCAACCTGTGCCAGCGCCTCACCACCCTCATAGTGAACTTCTTTCTAATATCTAATTTAAATCTCCTCCCTTTCAGTTTAAAGCCATTCCCGCTTGTTCTGTCACTACAGGCCCCTGTAAAATGTCCCTCTCCAGATTTTTTGTAGGCCCCTTTCGGTACTGGAAGGCTGCTCCTAAGGTCACCCCAGAGCCTTCTCTTTTCCAGGCTGAGCAAGCCAAATTCTCTCAGCCTGTCCAATAGGAGAGGCACTCCAGCCCCCCGATCATCTTCACGGCTTTTCTCTGGACGTGCTCCAACATCCCTTGTGTTGGGGGCCCTAGAGCTGGACGCAGTACTACAGGTGGGGTGTCATGAGAGTAGAGGGGGAGAATCACCTCCTTCAGCCTGCTGGCCATGCTCCTTTTGATGCAGCCCAACATAGGATTGGCTTACATGGATATAACCTGCAATCTAAAAAACCCTCTCAAGCCAAGCATCAGCTGTCATTGCTGCCAGTGCTTCTGTTAACACGCTGTCTCCTTTTAGAGGAATCACCCCATCCCTCACCTCCAGACAGAGTACAGTCTCTACGGATCTGCTCAGGCACTACTCATGTGGGTAAACTGCCAGTCAGGTCATTAAACAGCAGGGACCATGTAGGTGCTGGCGATTGTACAGGACAAAGTGTGTGTGTAGGGGTGCATAAAATGAGTTGTTACAAAATATTTTTTCCTTTGGTGGCTCTGTTACCTGAGGTAATTGATATCTAGTTTGTACATGCACATTGCTAGCACATTTCTGTGAGTGTCAGAAAGCTAGGTAAAGGGAGCACATGTAGGTTATGCTTCAACAAACTCGAGTTCAAGCTCACAGTAGCTTGCTTTATTATTATATTTAACCAGCTCATATTTAAAAGCCTGGTAGGGAAGCAGCACGTGAAGCAGGAGATCTAGTTACTGAAAATCTAATGGATGAAATCCTTTCTGTCACTTGTAATGCACCTTTCTTTCTGAGTCCTTAAAAAAATTGTCTGTTGGAAGAGGACCTTAACACCCTGCATCTTCCCAGCCGAATGCTGCTTGGAACAGAATGTCCAGGACTGTTTGTTTTAATCAACATGCTTTTATCACTGCAGAGTTATGAGGTGCAGAGCGTGCTGGGAAAGGAGGTGGGGTTATTGAACTGCTACGTCCGCTCCGTAACCAGCCACCCCAACTGCATTGCACTGGAGGAAATTGTTCTTCTGGAAGCAGCAGCAAGACATTGAGTTGAACTCGTCAGCTATTATACTATCTGTGGACTTTGTAATGTGGTTATCTGTTAACTAGTGCCACCGATAATGTAGAAAGCAAGCATGATAAGTATTCAGATAGTTTATTAAAACTGCGATTTACAAAGCACGTTGTGTGAATCCTGGAGAAATACCTATACAAAAGAAATCTGTTCAACTTTCTGTACTCTGCTTTTTTGGATCAGTTCAGCATTAAGGAATACCATTCTTCGGTGTGTTCACTGTTGATGTGTGTAAACCAACTCACTTGGAAGTTTGAATGGTTGTGAATATTTTTTCTTTTTTATAATACTGTATTATGTGTAGAGGGAATATATTTTACTGATATTTTTGAAATAAATACCTTGCTATAGGCAGTGAACATTGGTCTAAGCTGAGTTTTATCAGTGGCTTTCAGATGTACTGCTGGCTGCACCAGTTCTGAGTTGTAACATTTGTTATCACCTTGCAATAAATGTTATAAAAATGGAGATTTGAATAAAGCTTATGTTTTGAAGTGTCAAGCACATATAAAGTTAATGTTTTACAGCTAATTGGTCTCTGAGCATAGAAGTACCGTGTTATCTGTAGCTTCCCACAGAGCAGGTGTTTCATTATAATTTCTCTTATGGGTAACAAACTGTTTTGTAGGCCACATATATATCCTCACCCAGACTGTACAGAGACAGGGATTACAGATCAGATAAATAATACCAAAATCTTCCTATGTATGCATTGTTGGAGATATGAGAGTCCAGTCAGACATTAGATTCCCCCCCCCCTTCCCCTTCCACAGTATTTAAAACCCATTTACAGGTCAGAGGAGGAAGAATGAATGGTTTTGCACAGATCCTGTATGTGATCACCCAGCAGAAAAGGAACAGCAAGCCTGTTGCTGCACTGATCATTCCTGCGGCTGTGGCCGATAGTGGAAAGTTTTACATACGTCACCATTGCCCAGCTTTTGAATCCCCCTTTTTTCCCCTCTTGTCTGTTTCGGTCTTTTACCTACCTCCCCATAAGGAAAAAGGGGATGTCAGCCCATTCCTGCAGAGAGGACACTGCTCTGTCCAAGACCAGGGTCACCCCTCGGAAGCCAGCAAGGTTCCTCTCTCAGAAAGTGCTGGCTGTGGAGGTGCTGGTCCCACCAGGCCATGTTTGTGCCAGTGCCCTGCAGATGCTGTCACTTTCGTGCATGCACTAATAAAACTCAGACAAGTTGCTTAACCCTTTGTAACAGTTACTCGGTGTTGTTGCCCGCTCTCGCTTTCACTAGCAGGGATCAGTGAAAGTGGCCAGTTCGCAATAGCCCACAGCGGGCTGAAGTGCATGGACCCAACACCACCTCCCTTGAGCCCACATCTGGTTCAAGCTTAGTGGTAATGTTCAGGAGCATTAGTGGAGGTGCAGCTTCGGAAAAATGCTTCGAGGTTTCTTAGCAGGAACGTCAACTAACAGTGCTCTATGTTCAGGTAGGCTTTTTGCTATCATTAATGCTCTGTTTCTGGAGGGGTCCCGGCGCCACGGCAGCCCCCATAGCATGGTCTGTGCCATGTGCCACCACTACTCGGCCCCGACAGCTCAGCGCCAGCAGCTGACTCAGCAGTTCGGCCCAGCCGCGCAGCTCCCGGGACAAACAGACTTTTGTACCCACCACCTGCGAGAGCCTCAGCGGCTCCCGCCAACCACTGCACCTCCCTGAGGCTGCTGTAGAACCAAACGAGCCCCCCCGCTCGCCCTCACCATCCCGCTCCGGCTGCGGGAGCCCCTTCCGAGGGCTACCCCCCCTCCCCCGCCTTCACCGTACAGAGCAAACGAGAGCAGGGTTGTTTTAAAATGCTTTTTGTTCTTTTATTCCTAGAAATGCTGTAAAAATTGATATAAAAGGTCGAGCATGCTCAGTCTCTCTGGGTTTTCATCCTACTCCCTAAGATACATGTGGGGTTGAATCATTTTAACAGATGTACCATAGCTGCATCGGTATGAGTAAAATGTAGAAAAGATGAAAACTACCATTACAAAAATAATTTAAGGGGAGAGAAGAAAATATATATATATATATATTTAGCTTTTTTCTTTTTTTTTTTTGCAAGTTTCGTGGTGCAAGACCCGGGCCCGGCCCCGCGTCGCTCCGACGCTCCGCAAGCGGCCGGCGGCTCTCACCGCGGCTTCGCGTCTCCTGCCCCGCGCCCGGCCCGGCCCGGCCCGGAACGCCGCGGCCCGGCTCCGCATAGGCTCTGCTCGGCCCGGCGCGGCCGCTGAGGTATTTATTTATCATCCACAGTCACCCGGAGTCCGTCTCTCCGTCCCGCTCCCCGCCCCGGTTACCGGCAGTCGGTGCCCGAGCCGGGCTGCAGGAACGAGGCGCTGGGCAGCTGCTTGAAGAAGTGCCGGAGGCTGGTCAAGTCCCGGGTGAGCTGCTCGATCTTCTTGTGCAGCTTCTCGTTCTCGGCCGAGAGCTCCAGCAGCTTCTGCTGCATCTCCTGGTTGCGCCGCTTCGCCTTGTCGCGGCTCTTGCGCACGGCGATGTTGTTGCGCTCCCGGCGCTGCCGGTACTCGGGGCTAAACCTGTCCACGCACTTCTTGCCGCCCCGCTCCTTCCCGCCGGGGACCGGCGGGGCAGGGACGCCCTGCCCCGGGCCGGGCAGCGGCGCTGCGGGGCCCGGCGAGCGGGTGCTGCAGCTGGACGGGGAGCTGCTGCCCGGCGGCTCGGGCGAGGTGGGCGGCGTGGGCTGCCCGCTCAGGTTCATGATGGTCTGCGCGCAGGTGGCGATCTGCGACGGCAGCAGCGAGGAGGACAGGTCGCTGTCGCTCCAGTCCGGCTCCTGCTTCAGCGCGCCGCGGGAGGAGGAAGAGGAGGAGGAGGAGGAAGAGGAGGAGGACGAGGAGGCGGTGCGGGGCTCGGCGCCCAGCAGGGTGGTCATGGCAGCGCCGAGGTCCTTGGCGGGGTCGCGGCCGGCGCCGCCGCCCGGCGGCAAGTACTCGCCGTAGTCCCCGCCCCGCTCGGGCTTGTGGTTGCTGTTGAAGAGGTCGGCGAAGAGCTCGTCGTTGCAGAGCTCCAGGTTGGGCACGGCCGACATGGAGTCAATGTAGGAGCTGAAGTCGATGGCGCTCTCGTCCTCATACATGGCCGGGGCGGCGGCGCTCAGCTCCGCCAGGTTGGTGCCGCTGCCCCCCAGGCCGCCCCCTGCCTCCTCGCCGCTCATCCCGCAGCCGCCGCGGCCCCCCAGCTTGCAGGCGGGACCGGGCCCGCCGCCGCTGCCCACCTTGGCGTCGTAGAAGTTGGCGGGCTCCAGGCACCAGCTCTTATAGCATGCCGGGGAGTCCAGGCTGTAGAGAGTGGCGGCGCTCATCGGCCAGCGGGACGAGGCGCCGCACGGTCGCGGCAGAGGGGCGCCTGACCGCGGGCACCAACCTCCGCTCCGCGGTGATAGCAGCTCCAGTCTCCGCCACGGGCAGGTGGGGAGCGGGGCTGGTGCTGCTGCTTGTACTGGTGGTGGTGGTACCGGTGCTCCTGCTGCGGTCCCGCAGCCGCTTCGCTTCCCCGCGGGGATCGATCCGGACTCGGGTCACGCCGCGCTCGGCGATAGGAAGCGGGTATGGGACAAGGCGTCTCTGGACCTGGGAGCGAAACGCCCGCTCGGTCCCTTCTTATACGGCGCCGGCCCCGCCTCCTGCCCCAATGACGGGGAACCTCGAGTGTTCCCGGCACCCCCGGGGACCGGGGGCGGGAGCGGGTGGGGTGCGCGGCCGCGGAGGCAGGGCTCCCGCAGCGGAGAGCTGCCGCCTCCCGGTGGAGGATAGCCGCGGGCAGGGGGAGACTTCCCTCCGGGGGGTCAAGCCTAGACTTTTCATCCCGCGGACCTTCGCTCCGTTGGGCGGCTGCCGCCTCCCCGGACCACCCCGTCCCCCCATTCCCCTTCCAGCGCTCCGGTCGAGCGTTAATTTACCCTTTTCCTGTCTTACTTCCACACGGGGCAGCGGAAAAGGCTCATTTCACCGCTCCCCCTACACGCTGCACCCACTCCGCACACGTTTCCCCAGAGGCGCCTTGGATGAAGCGCTCCGGGAAGGATGCTGCCTATCCCACGCATGTCCCTGTGCATCGCCCGAGCGCCCTCCCGAGGCTCCGCTCCTCCCGCTGGAGGAGAGCTGTAACACCCCCACTCCAGTGACAGGGTGGCTGCTCGGACTTCATCTTGCAGGATGCTCCCGTGGGAAAAGGGCTGTTAAGGCATCTTTAGCTACTTCAGGGTGCCTGCGTGAAGTTAAACCTCTTTAAAAACTTATGGTTAGTCATTACAACCCCTCTCCCTTTCATCTGATTAACAACTACCATTAAATTGGCAAGTATAGGAGAAATGGAACTATTGTAAGTGTGTGAAATAGCTACGTTTTCAAATTACTTAACAGTTTATAGCCCCCTGGCATCACCCGCAGGTGCTCCGCTGCCTGAATTGCAAAACACATGAAAAACCCTTTAAAAATTCCATTTTAAGATTTATTATTTTTTCCCCAGAAGACCTGGCTAGCTTTGTGACACCAGCAGGACTTTGAGCAACCTAGGTGGAGCTTTGAGCAACCTGGTCTAGTGGAGGGTGCCCCTGCCCATGACCAGGGGCTGGAACTGGATGAACTTGAGTGTCCCTTCCAACCCAAATCATTCCATGTTTCTATGTCCAGTGCAGCCACTGGCTTCCCAGCCTAGAGCTCAGATGAAACATGAAGCTCTGCCATGACACTCGGTGGTGGCTCTCTGGGGAGCGTGGGTATGTGCAGGGCCCATGGCATCTCCCTGGGCAGGGCTCCATCCGGCGGTCCTGCAGCTGTTGCCGTGGCACAGCTGTTTCTCTAAGGGGTATGTATTTTAACAGGAAGAGCTGGGACAGGGCTGATCTGCACTCTCCCTTTGGCTCTGAACTCCTTGTGGGAAGCTTGTGGGATCTGGGTAAGTGTTCTCTGCCTGCCAGGTGAGGTTTTGCATCTGGCAGGTAAAGCTTCATGTGGAGGGGCTTGGCTTTATTCTCAGCTCTAGTGCTGCAGTAACCCTGCAGAGACATTACGTTGTTAAATAAACAGACTTGATTTGCTTTGCTCATCAGGGGTTTGACCCTGCAGCCTCATCCCACAGCATTAAGCACTGACAGTGATGCAAGAAGTGGAAACAATTTTCCTCTTCCACATCTTCAATAAATAACATTCCCCCAAGCCCAGCTTTGCATGTTGTTTTCTGCCCTTCAGCACTGGGGTATATTCACATTGCATGACTCTGTGCCACCTGCTCCTGGCCTGCTGTCTGCAGGGAGCATAGTGCTCCTGAACTTTTTTCTCTGCATGAAGTGTAGGAGGGCGGGTGGGAAAATCATGGGAAGGTAGTTCAGAAAGGGAAGGCAATCTGACACGCAGACTCCCTCCCTGCTCTGTGACAGGGTCTGGTATCACCTCACCTGCTGTAGCCATGCAGTGATGGTTTGTCATGGACAGCGTCTCGTTTTGCTGTTTATGTGGAACTCTGTTGTGCTTTCAGCTTCCGGAAGTCCTTCTCCCCAAAGGGCAGCTGCTCATCAGTGTTGGCGTGCAACTGTGCCAGCCTGGGCAGCCTCATTTAATGCCCATCATGTGTTACTCCGCAGAGGAGACTCAATTCCCAGCCAGGTCACCCGGCCCCGCTGGGCACCCTGCCACACAGCAACCAGACTCCCAAAACCCTTCGGAGAGCAGCAACTGCTGGGCACGGACACCCTGCGTAAGCCTCAGTATCTGCCAGCCCTGTCACACCTGAGCCTATCTCGGTGGGTGCAGCTTTGCTTCCAGTGTCTTCAGGACCTGGAGGGGTGTTCAGAGCTCATGGTCAGACCTGTTGATCCCTGCCCCAAAACCGTCCCCTGGAAGGCTGAAGTTGGCTGTGTTTGCTGCTGGGCTGGAGATGCGTGATTTCAGGAGCACATTTTGAGGGGCTCCCCACGTGCCACGCAGGGTGCGAGGCCCTGGGGTGGTGTAACACCTGCAGCAAGGCACCCAGGAGTGTGCGAGTAGGTGGTACTTGTCACTTACCAAAGCACTGGGCTGAAGGCAGGTTGATATCCATCCAAGCTTTGCTGTTTCCTGGATGGATTTGTCTGGCACTTCAGCACCTGAATCTGTTCCCATCTGCACAAGTACTTTCATGAGCGGAGAAGCAGAGACAAGCCCTTGATTCCCTCACCCACGCTGCTGAGTACCGGACCCACCGAATTCTGGCTTACCTCTGGGATCCTGTAAGCTCACACAGCGTGAGAAACATTCTGAGCATCTGAATTTCAGAATGATTTCTTTAAAACCTCTTTGGGGTTCCTGCTCCAAGTGAAGGCGAGAGGAGCGTTTAAACCTGGGCAGAAAGGGACAAGAACCCTTTCTCTAGAAAGAAACCTTTGCATAGAAAGAACAAAACCTTACATTACTTGGAGAGCTGGCAGTGAGCCCAGAGCAGCACCAGGACCCTGAGCAAGTCCTTCAGGTACAGGAATTAAATCACACTGTACTTCTGACTAGTTTTTCCTCATAAACAAGGGACAGGCCACTCAGGGAAGGTGAATCATCAGGCCAACACTTCAGCCTGGCTTTAATCCCCACCATCCTCCTTCCTGCATGCTCATCTCTGGCCAGAAGCGCAGGACTTTTTGGAACAGCAGGGCTGGGAGCCTGCCGAGGCTGGGCTGGTCCTGCAGAGCCTAAAGAGCCCTTCACTGCTCTGGGGATGCTACAGGGCTGAGGGGAGCTAGCTCCCGGGGGATTCATGGCCTCGGGCAAGGCAGCCGCAGGAGGGACACCTGCCTTATCCTCAGTCCAGCACCGGGTTTCACAGGGAAAGGCTGGCAGGATGCTGACAATGGGGAAAAGGTGCAGAGGCGGTTTGCCCGGTTTTCTCCTCCCCCCACAGAGAAGCAGGTGTGTGATGATCGTTCAATTCAACAGGCAGAAGCCAGGACCGGCACTCGGGGGCTGACCCGGGAATGGGACATGCAGATGAGGAGGTGCAAGTTGTTTGAGTCAAAAAGCTGCCACACTCTCCTAGGGAGACACTACCTCCTTGAGGCTGGCGTTGGCTCTCATTAGGTACCACAGTGACTGCTCGACAGACCCTCCCTATCCCTCATCCCACCCCTGCCGAGGCTCCTGCCTTTCTCGTGTCTCCGGTCTCTGCAGCAGTATTTTGCTCATCACAGCCCTTGTACTCACTCGGGTCAGCTCACTGCAAATTCACCCTGCGGCCCCCCTGCTCCGAGGGAATGAAGAACTTGCTGGTAAGTGGAAGGATTCTTCCTTTTAGCTTGGTTAATGCCTGTGCTCTGACTGCCTGCAGGTTGCTCAGCGGCACCTGTAGCTGCTGAATTAAATCTTCCACCCTGGGCTCCCGAAAGGCCGCAGTGAAATGCTTCAGACCTTGCGCTCTTTGTTTCCTCATGCTCTGTGGTGGACGCGCTGAACCTTTCCTGTCAAGGGGTTTTGCATGAGGTCCCGTTAGGGATGAGATTCATGAGCTCAAATTTGCAGCTACATCTTCTGCCTAACTAAGTGCAATCTTGCACAGTATCATTTATTGTGGGTTTAATGGACAGGTATAGCGAGTGCTCCTCTCTCCTGCCCCACCAGAAAGGAAAACACCCCCACTGTAAATAGAGTGGAAACTGTAACCCAACCTGTTCCAGTCCTTTCAGGCCACTCCTTCCTGAACTGTCTGCAACAAGAAAATCTCTAAACCCCTTATTCTGGGCTCTGTTGGTTTAATGTAAGGGGGGTAGCTCTTTGGTAGCTTTTCTACAAGATCAGAGGCACTGTTCGGTGCTGTGGGTGGCTGCCAGGGCATGGCCTTTCTGCACAGGTGCCATTTCTCACAAGCAGCTTGAAGTTTTTAAACCCCAGGTCATTTCCAGCTGAAGCGTATGGTGTTAATGGAGTGACCCTGCAGACCCTCATCCTCAGTACTTGGGAGGGGGAAAGAGAAAGTGGTTTAAAGTAACCACAATAAATGCTTATTTTAAGTCCCTGATTTTGAAAAACATGAAGTCTGGGGAGGAGCGTCTCTAAATGTAGGCACTGACTTACCTGACTTGAGGAAGTGGCTGGCCAAAGCCTTCAGCATGAAGCGGTAGGGAACTCCTTATTCCACAGCTGAAGACAAGCCTCATTCATTGTTCTTGTGGAGAGCTCATAGGCTCCTTCCCAAGCCTAAACATGTGCTGGAGCTGTGCCACATCTCAACAGACACCTCTAGGTAACATTTAAACTGGGGGGCAGTGGTGGGGACTAAGGGAAAATGCTATGACAAGCCCCATGCAGGAACCTCTTTATCAGCTGGGAAAGGAGACTGCAAGCAGCAGAGGTTTCCTCTGTGCTCAGCAGGGTTGTAACTTTGAGTTACGGGGAAGACTGACAGAGGTGGTAAGCACTAGCTTAAACA